TAAAAAAAAAAAAAAAAAAAAAGATAATTTAAGAAAATTCTGCGACGCAGCAGAGGACATGACTGTGGGCACCGACCTGCTTTCGCGCGCTCTCTACCATCTTCATTTTCATGGCAAACTTGCAGCTCTTAACCAGAGAGCTGACGTCCTCCTGCGGCTCCCGCACCTCCACCTCCTCCCTGGGCTCTGCATCGCCATCCAAGCTCATACTAGAGTCATCTGGGCAAACAGTGAGCTTCTCCTCTATTTTGCTGAGGAAGAAACATCTACACAAAACAAGGAAAAATGAGAACGCCTCACGAAAGAAATCTTTGACATGAGGACACTACCAGGCCTAGTTTTGCCACGAGGGTAACAATAGTTGCGGGTGGTCAGCGGCCTGAGCGGCTAAGACTCTGACAGAAACTCTCTTGTACTGTGTGTGGAGAAGTGTGAAAGGAGCCTGGGCAGACCAAAGATTGCAAAGGGAATCCCGGAGGGGAGAGAGCCAGAGCTGGGAGCCTTCGGTCCTGTACGTGACGCCGCACAGGTCCCGGCCCACCAGGGAAGGACGCGTGTGCAGGGCTGGCTCCACACGCTGAAGGAAAGGCTTGAAAACTGAACTGAAATCGAACCAACAGACGAAGGCAAGAGAGTCTACTACCCAGATCCAAGTGGGATCCTATAATATACATTCTGCTGAGGTTTAGAGAAGAACTCAGAGTCTACACAAGATAATATTCGCAATTTCTAAGACGCACTCTAAAATTAATTGATACACAAAGACCCAGGAAACTGTATCAGTGCTCAGTGGGAGACAGTCCAGGCGCCAACTTTAAAATGACCCAGGTGTTGGAACGATCATTCTGGGAAGGACTTTAAAGACGTCATTTTCACTATGGTACAAGAAATAAAGACAAATACACATGAAACAAATGAAAAGGTAGATATCTCAGTAGAGAGTATAAAATGAACCAAAAGGAAATTTTACAAATGAAAAAATACCTGAAATAAAACATTCACTAAACAAAATTTAAAGAGGAATGAAGATAACAGAGAAAATGACAGTGAACCTGAAGACAGATCAATAGTAATGAACCGACCTGAAGAAGAGAGAAAAAGACTTAATAAAAATGAGCAGAGCTTAAGGACTATGGGGGACAATGTTAAATATATATATATATATATATATATATATATATATATATATAATTACATAATAGAGTTGGGAGGCAGGAGGCAAGATATAAAAACAGAATCCTAAAAAATCATTAAGCAGTGTTTCCTTTGCTGCTGTATCACCACCTAACATTCAGCCCTGGGACAGAAGCACCTGGACGACTGCCCTGCGGCCCCCTTGCCCTCTCTCGCTGCCAGACCACCTCGAGTGGGCAGCGTTTCCCCACAGGGGACGGGATATATTGCTGACGTGGTGAGTTTTGTTAGAACAACTTAAATGGAAAATTGGCAAGATAAGGAAACTTACACTAGATTCAAACCCACATTTTTCTAAACCACAGTCTCAGAGAAAAACAGTTCTGGCAATTTCAGAAAATAATTCATATTCAACTCAACAGGATCCCATCTTACCGATTTGTGATAATGTCATCCCAGATGTTCAAGGGGTCCATTTTAGCATCTGGATATCTGTTTGTCCAGGTTCTTAGAAGTCTCTTAAGGGGAACTAGAGATGATAAATTACCTAAAAACAATATCAGAGGACGGTTATATCCACAGCTCAATGACAAGACCAACGTACAATGCAGGGCTGTCATTACTACATGGAAACTTAATTTAAATGTATTGTCCAAATTAGAAAATTTTGTCTCTTCTTTCACAGCAGGAACTCAAAGTTACCATACTAAACCTAATATATCCTGGCGTTAAAACTCAATTTCTTAAGAATATAAAGTGGGGAAATAAACATACAATTTTTTACTTTTAGCAAAGGTCTACTTCACCCACATTCCAAATCAAAACAGCACTGACAGCTAAAAAGGTTCTCACTGGGTTGCTACCAGACATCTTGGCAAAACCTGTTCTGAATTGGGACAGGGCTCCTTACAGTCTCTGTCTACGCCATTCATGAGAATATTCATCACTTAGGCTAGCGGTGCGTGGTTGTGCCTAATATGGAACACTGCCCCAGGCCCTGGTGTGCACAAGGCTAAATGATAATAATAATATCCAAAGCTATCTGACTTCAAGGTGTGGCAGGGCAGTAAGAAGCTAGAAAAATTCCTGGGCGAGTGGAATGGGGAAACTGAGGTAAGAAAATCAAACAAGGACAGTCTGGGCCGTTTGCAGCAGCTTGGGAATCGCCAAGATCTTATCTCCCCAACCAAGGTCACTTGAGAGCGAATGGTTTATACCCTCCTCCGTAACCAGAGAATGCTTAGCAAAATTCACCCTGGTCAGGGAGATAGAGAACAGAGACCCAATTAATGCCATTTGTGCCAACTAAACCCAAGACAAATAAAGCCTGGGGTCATTTGAATGGTATCACTTGGGGGATGTTAGGCAGGAAAGACAGCTGCTGGACGGAGGAGGGGGGGTAGAAGGGGAGTTTTTCTCACCCACTAAACAAAGAAGTCAGCTGCCTTAGGACTTGCCAAACAAGATGATCAGGTGTATGTACAAACATTCTGAGACAAGCCACAACAATGTAGAGGGAGACTTTGAAACTAGCCTGCTACCCAAGATACCCAGCAGGGGAATTTTGAAACCTATAGGGGAAGGGTATAAAACCCCTAGAACCCCACTGGGCAGTGCGCTCAGACTAGCTCAGCTGCCCACTTGAGCTTTATGCCAAAAGTACTCTTAATAAATTTGCTTGCTTTGCTTCAACACTGCTGTCTGTCACTCGTCTAAAATCTTTCTTGGGAGAGTGACAAGAACCGAGGAGAGGGCAGCCCCCCTCCGACTCAGGGGGCTATCCAGTAACAAAGAGTTTTGGAAAAGGGTTTCATAATAATTAATCATAAAATTGAAATTTCACATTGCTAATGTTTAAAGCTTTAGTTTTCTTTCTTTCTGTTGGTGGAAAGTAAGCGGTTAAGAACACAAGCTTAAATCAGACAGTTCTGGGTTCAAAATTGGATCTTTCACTTTAACAGTGCGGGAAAATTACTTAATCTTTAAGCCTCTATCAAACAAGGAGAAAGAATCTTCATCTCATAAAGCTGTTACAGAAACTAGATAATATAGAAAAAAGGGATTAACATAGCTCCTGGAAAATACAAATCACTTAATAAATTATTAGTACTCTGAAAAATGTCTTTAATATTATTTTTAATTATTTAGGACAAAAATTAAAATTCAGATTTACAAGGAATTAAGTACTCTTTCCTTTTGGCTCTGGGTGGCCTCCTATGGGCCCCGGGATAAAACCCACTTGGTGGTGGCAGAAAGACCACCTCTGAGCGCTACAGCCTCCCTCCCCTCGGGCCAGGACACATGGCAGCCGGTCACAGAGCATCCGGCACCTGGCGGGATGCTGCAGGCATTCAGTAGGGCAGGCCTTCTGCAAACCCCTATCCCATGTCCACAGGGAGCTCAGGCTCCTCCGCCAGTAGCCTTCTGCACCCCTCAGTCCAGGGCAGGTTCTGTCACCTGTGTTTCCCATGAGGCCCTGCGCATGCGTCTACCTCAGCAGGTATCATATCGGGCTGAAATTATTCCAGTTTTGAATGTTTCCTCAAGCTGGGCAGTCTGTTTTATTTGGCTGTGTCTCCCCAGTGCCTAGAATAGTGCTTGACCATTTTAAACATTCATTTCAATAATCTCAAAATGTAGAGGTGTGAAATGAACTCAAAGTAGTTTCTAATCCATACAGTAAAAAACATATACTTCCACTAAGCAAAAAAATCAGGTAATAAAATGTTTCCATAATTATAAAATAAAAAAATAACTGTAGGTTAAAAAAAATTACCTTGTTTGCTTATGAAGCTGATGAATTCCTGAATTTCTATAAGAGTTTGTACAGACTGCAATTTGGTGAGTCTACTTCTGTGTAAAAGCACATCAATACTAGAATAGTTCTAGAAAAAAGGCATTTAGCATTGTTAACAAATCAACTTAAGACTTTAAGTTTTAGTATAGTTCTATAAAGTGTGAAATACAGCAACTACCATACAAACACATCACACAATGTAACTCAGTGTGGTTAATAATGAGATCATACAAGAAATTAACAAAGAATTTAATTTTAAAAAATAATTTAGGTTTTCAACCACTTTTTGGCTCACTGCAATCAATAAAATCAATGCAAATGGCCCATCACTGCCTCTATTTGCCTACACTTTTTAAAAATCACAATATCCTCTAATGTAAATTGCTAAGTATAGGAGCTAATTCTTTCATCTTCAATAAACTTTCTCAAGCCCAGCTGGCGTGGCTCAGTTGGTCGGGCATCATCCCGTGCACCGAAAGGTTGCTGGTTCAATTCCCAGTCAGGGCACATACCCTGGTTGTGGGTTCGATCTCCAGTAGGGGGTGGGCAGGAGGCCACCTATCAGTGATGTTTCTCTCTCACTGATGTTTCTATCTCTCCCTCCCCTTCCTCTCTCTCTAAAAGTCAATAAAAAAAATAATAAAAATACCACAGGAATGGTACATTTCAGATTGGTGTGCCTGTATTACCTGTATAAAAATCTGAATGCAATTTTCAATATAGTATTTGGCTCTGTCGATATCATTTTGTAAGATATAAAGAAGACTCAGTTCCTGACTGTAGTTCAGCTCGATGACGGCCTTCTGGAGCTCCTTGTTCACAGCCTCATCGATAAACGTCAGCAGAGACTGGTCCTCCTCTCCCTGAAGCAGCAACTTCAGCTTGCTGCGGATCATGTATGGCAGGTAGGTCTCCTGGGGACACAAGAATCCACTTGTCACTCCAGAATGCCAATTCGCGTACGCCTGAATACTTTATCACTATAATATGCTTTAGTGTACTTTTATAGGCCAAGATTTAGGGGCCAAAGGGATTACATTCAATACTGCAAACCTAAAAACTGTAATTTTTAAGACATGGTTCATCTAACATTGCTCACTATGTAACCACAAAATATATACAAACATGTTCTATAGAAAGTAGGAACTATGTACTTTTAGCTGAAACACAACTAGATGTTACAGAAAAAGTGAGGAATCTTTAAGCTTAGCCAACACAGCAGCAGTGTGAGGGGACCGGGAGAGCAGCCGTGTCCAGGAGTTGGGGTGACCTTGTGAGTGGGGGGGATCATCTGACTCCAGGAACTGGGGCTGGTCCATGTGCTGCCCATGACCAGTATGGAGACTATAGAAAATAGTCTTCCATGTCATCATAGCAGGGATGTTAATATTTATTTTTAAATGCATGCCACTTACTTGGAAAGGGTTAGCTGAAAGTGGTCAGAGATTTAGCAACACTATGGAGCTTGTGGGGGGAGACAGGTCATATAAATATCCTAATGCTGCACAGCTACTACCTTATTTCTGAAAAGTTTTAAGCAACTTCATTAATTAGAGAACGCCTGACCACCTAACGTATTTATTTCGGCAACTTCAAAAATAATCCTACCCACCTGATAAAACGATTCGCTCCACATTTTATTTAGATCCGGGGGGTTCTTGCTGTCCACACTGACTGTGGAGCAATACGCCAGAGATCTCCACTCAGCGAGCTGGTTATAACAATCGAGGGACGCCAGCTCCCAAAAGTCCTTCTCGGCTTCGGAAGGCTCGCCGTCCTCCCACTCTTGTTTATTGAGAGCCTGGCAGAGAACAGTTCCTAAGATTATGTTACAAAGTTCCAAAGACTACAACTGAGGTATATTTGAAATAATGCAGGTAGTGTAGCATTCGTAGTAAGGACAACCATTTTCAGGTTCATGGTAGGGGAGAGAAAGGAAAATAGAGTAACGCTCAACGGGACAGAATCACACAAAGCGAGGTCAGAGTAACAAATAAACATAAAAACCCTAACAAGAGAAAAGCCATTTCTTGGAGGAGCTTACCAATGAAGCTGATTAATAAAACGGAGGCTTCAAATGACCCATAATTAGATTTAAATCAATACTGCGGGTTACTTACTAGTTATAAAGTTCTTAGAATGAAAATTAGAAAATAGGACCTGTACGGGAAACTGCAGAGAATTTTACAACCTGAATTGCTCTTGCAGGAGGCTCACAGGTCACAGGCCCTGAATTTCAAATATCTGCTAGACATCTACACGAGGGGTGGCCACTGGCTACTCAAAACAGAAAACGTATAAACTGAACTAAAGTCATCTTCCCAGAACTAGTCTCACCTCTTTGCAAGTTTCCACTTGCCGGAAGAAGACAATCTACTCAAGCAGAAATTATATAACGCTAGCAGATACTAAAACACCTTATAGTTTTACAGTACTGGGTAATTTATGAAATGCTTTCTCCTTTATTCAGTGTTTTCTTAAAAAGAGTAAGAGAAACAGCAGTATTTCACAGTTTGGTCATTATGAGACCGTTCTCTGCTCTTCGTGGAAAATCTAAGGAGTCGAGCTGAAGCACCGCGAAGCCCCAGAACTGAAAACCAACGGTCTTCCCACCCAGGGGACGAAAGTGCCCCGTGAACGGCGTCGGCGGGAGACGGCCTCACCTGGTTGTACTGCCTGGCAGCCTCCGAATAGTCACTTCTGGCTTCCTCCAGCAGCGCGCTCCGCGTGGCCGGCTTGGTTCCGATCTCGCTGCTGAAAATGCCCCGGAGGACGTCATACTCCCCAATGGACCTGTACAGCCTGCAGACACGCGGGGGGCGCCCCGATCAAGGAGCGCCCCGGGGTTTTGAAAGCATTGATTGTGATAGCTATGGAGAACAGTTACGATATTCGTAGGCAAACACTACAGTAACTATTGAGTCGCAGGAGAGACTGTTTCGCACTCACAGCTGCAGCCTCCCTCCGCCCCACCCCGTGCACCTGAGAGCAGACAAAAGCCCAGACGCGCCCCGAACTGTCCCAGGACTTCCCTGGCCCTCGGAGGCCTCACCGCCTCTGCTTCGTATTAAGGTTAGACGCGTGTGTAAGTACGCACACCTCCGGCTGGGTGGCTAGTTTTGGGAGCCCGTGAGAAATGTCTACCTCATGTTTTAATTCTTCTCAGCACCGGCCACAATGCCTCGCTCACTCACTCACTCACTCAGAGTCCCGAAGAAGAAAGAAAGAAACGACTGAAAACAGTGCACAAGCGCAAGGAGCCTGCACCCTGACCCTTCCTTCCTTTTCCCTCGAGCTTGAAGGTCTAGAGTCAGTGCCAGAAAACAGAAGTTCAAGCTAACGTTCAACCTAACGCAACAGACTTCTCAGAACCACGGCCCTTATGACAAAACCACAGGCACGGGAAAAATCAGACATGGTGCGAAACAGCGTAACTACAGGATGAAAAGTTCCCCCAATGAACAAAACAATTGGACTAAACTGTCCCTAAAGGTTGGAATCCTGCTGAAAATGATAAACCATCCTCCCGTCAGCAGAGCAAAGCAGCAGAAACTGTGAAAATTCTAGGAACTGTAAGTTGCAGCCCCACTTCCCAGGAAATGAAACTCAGCGCGTGATGCCCCAGAAAGACCAGAGAGTGAAAGAAACGATCAGGTTTAGTTAACCTCTTTCCGTGGACTAGATAACCCTGGTCATGGCAACTATTCTTATCTCACGGAATGGTACTCAACCTGAGAGATTTTTCAAAAAACTTTATAACAGTGTCACCATCAACTTTGCTTGTTTTCTATCAAAAGGGAGTCGAGAATTTTCTGTATTGCTTTGGTGAAACTGTTCTCTCAACAGCGTCTGGGTCACAGAGCTTACTTAGCAAGTTCCATCCACCGGAGAACGTCGGGAGAGAGGCGGGGCGTCCCCCGGGCCCGCTTGGGCGGTGGCTCTGGAGGCGCCAGGTGCAGCAAGGCCTCCTCGAGGAGGCGGATGCCCACGGGCTGCTGCAGACTCGCCAGGCAGGTGGCACTGACCGACGCCGGGTCGAGGCTCAGCAAGTCCGTGTGCCGGCAGCTGATCTCCTGCGAAACCACAAACGTGTATTAGCTGCTTAGCCTGCACATCTTCACAAGTGAATAATTCATTCTACGAAACATTAAAAAAAAAGGTTTTGGGTTTTAAAAATATGTCTTTATTGATTTCAGAGAGAGGAAGGGAGAGCGAGATAGAAACGTCAATGATGAGAGAGGGCCATCGATGGGCGGCCTCCTGTGCCCCCCAAGGTTGACTTCGATTATTCTGCCATCTATGTTTGCTTTTAAGTACAAATAAATGACATCTACCCATCTGGGAAGAGGTAACCAAACCAGAGTACACGTCCTCTGATAAACACCCTGTGTCTGAACTTGGGAAACAAATGAAGTGTCTATTTTTTAATTTAAATTTTTTATTGTTGACACTTTTGCAGATGCCTCCCATTTGCCCCCCGACAAATGAGGTTTTATGACATAGTCGTGCAGAGGCAACGTTAGGATAATGCACGTCCGAAGTCTGCGCGGACTTTTACCTGGATACAGGAGACGAAGGGCGGAAAGCAGGAGGAAGTGCTGCTGAGAAGGTGGTTGAAGTCCCGGAGCAACGTCTGAGTAATGCTGTTTCTCTCAGACCTGGTCTTGTGCTTGTCCATCTCCTTTATAATCGCAGAGAACAGGCTGCCAAACAGCTGCTTGGCAATGATGGGGTCTCTCTGCAAAATTTTCAAAACAAAAAGAAATTAGGATCTGAAGCAAAAATGCTGTACTTTACCAACTATCAAAGCTTCATTTGAAAATACAAACTGTTGCAAACCTATCTACTCAAATTCTCATTTCTGTTCAGAAAGTTTTAACCGACGGTGACAAGGGGAGCATTTGGAATTTAACCAAAGATACCTGGTATCAGTGTTAGCACTGGAAACTTGGGGACAGTAAAATATAGGGCATTCTATTTCACTAACTAGCACACTATATACCATAAACTCTTTGATTTAAAAATCACTTCAATGAAAGTCAAAGGAATCTTCATCAGGCTTTTGGGGGATAAATATCCTGTTTCTGTCAAAGGACTCAGATAGAAAACTTCTAGTTTGACATCCTGACGACTTAGAAAACACTCCCAGTGCTCGGCTATGAAGAGAATTACCGGGAAGGAAGGCTGCTGACCTCACCGGTTCGCTGATCCTCTCCTGAGGCCACGCTCCGGGAAAAGGGTGCTACGTGAGCCTTGATTTAAACGGCTCAGCACCTGACAGTTTACAATGACTTTTTACACATCGCTGCATTCTGACATCATTGGTAAGAAAACTAGGTTTTACTCTCTGGTGCCCCAGATGAAGACACTGTGGCTGGGAGCAGAGTCCTGACGAGGACCCGGCGGCGGGGCTACCCCCTGGCCGCTGCTGCGCCGGAGCCTCGCCCTGTGGAAAGAAGCCTCAGCCTCAGGAGGTGGCAGAGCCTGCACTGGATCAAGGTCTCTGACCCAAGTCCACTGTCTGGACGAAGCCGCACCTCACTTACGATACAGTGCGGCCTCAAACATGTTCCTTGCACAGGCCCCTGGAGCTGCTGTAACAGCTTCTATCCACCCACGGAAGATGCAGAGCTTGAGGACCAACCTGGGCCACAGCCTGCAGCGGGGCGATGAGGCTGCTGTGCTTAATCTGAATGTCGGGAAGGTCTCCGTGACGGTAGCTTCTGTACAGGGTGACCTGGGCTTCGTGCTTCACCTTTAACTCGCTCTGGATCTCCTATCGTCATCAGAACCAAAGAAGAAGATTTGAAATTCGGATTGTGGTTAAGAAAACCAGTCGGACATGAGCCCTGAAACTGAGAGCACCATCTGCCACACACAGGTGAATCGGTGACAATTTGTATCCAAAATGGTTTAGTCACCGTGTTTCACCAGCCGACGACAGATGACAAATCCAAAAGAAAAATCACTGCGGCAGAGACGAGTGGTGAAAAGACTATTTAAATATTTACTACAAAGTAATCTGAATATTTATAAAACCAGAGAACCTGACTGAAAACTTTTCAAAGCTGTAAGAAAGACTGAAGCTATGGCTAAACAAATTATCTCACTATTTCCGCATTTTGAGAAATGTCTAACTATTCCTTCATGGCGCACCTGGGCCTGAAATCACTGCTCTCAGCAGACAGCTCTGACCCGTCCGCCTAGCTGCCCACCTCCCCGGGCCAACCACCCCTCCCATCCACGTACCTCCAGGAGTGGCTGGCGGAGACGTGGCCTCCCCCCCTTCCCCCCACAATATAGTATTGGTCCCCAAATGGCCCCTGAGCCGAGGAGGGTCAAGACTGGCCTGAGGTAGAGCGGGAAATCCCTTCCCAGCAGCTACGGTTTTAACGTGTAAAACTCAGGAGTAACCGGTGCTCACGGCTCCTCCACACAGAGAAAGTCAATCTGTTCAGAGAACAATCCACCCTGGAGAGAGGCTGACAGAGGGGCAGAGACGAGGTCCTGCCAGGGCCTGGGAGCCAGGACCCACCGCCGATTCAGGGGTCACCCTGGGTGTTTCATTCCAAGATGCCAAAACCTGACCAGTGAGTCACGAGTGCCCTTCACATCTGCACCGGTCAGAGGAGACTTGGGTTCATAAGTAACTTGTGTCACATGCTGCTTCTCTGATTCTGGTTTGTGGACCAACATTGGAACCGGTATCGAGCAGGAAGCCTGTCTCCTTAGGGTATGTACCTAAAACAGATCTCAGCCCAATCAACCCCCCGAGAAAGATACAGACCTCCTTTCGTTTTTGTTCAGCAATTCCTTTTCTCGCATAGATCAAACTGAGCTTTTCTCGGTCCTTTAAAAATCGCCTGCGCAATCTCAGTATTTCTGCCCGACTGTCTGGACCTGAAGGACAGAAAGCAGGCTCGTTACAGCTGGACAATTCAGCATTCGCAGCAACGAATGCAGTGAGTTCAGTTTATCCAACAGCTTTTCTGGAACCCACACGACGATCTCAACACGGAACATGCCCAGGTGACCCTGAGTTGAATTCTACTGGCATCGATCACAGGTTACGCGGGTCTGTGGGCACGATCGGCAGCTCGCTTCCTACCCGGGCCTGTGCTGATTTGGCGCAGGGCCATTTCAAACACGTTTCCCTGACCACACTTTACCTTTGGCTCTGTCATCCACCGTGTCCCCTGGGAGGCTCAGCCTTTTCTTCCCAAAATCAGGTCCCACTGACTTCAAGGGCGCCGTCTTTCCTCTCTCACTCCTCTTGTGAGCGAGCAGCAAGGAAGACGACAAGGAATCGGAGGGTGGGGAGGCCCCGTAGTCCAGCGGGGCGACGCTGCTTCCAGTGAGCCAGTTAAAGGAGCTCCGTCCATCTGCAAAGAGGCAGGACCAGCATCTCTCAGCTCGGAGCCGCGCGGCCCGCCGGGCCCACTCCCCATGGCCACCGTGTCCATCTGGTGGCTCCAACTGTCACAATACACTGTGAGGGAACAGTCGTCCCGGTGGCCCCTGCGACAGTGACCTGGAACAGCTCCCCCAGGGAGACCGTCACATTCCAGCAGAAGGACATGGGGCAGAAGCTGCGTGAGGTCAGGAGTGGACGGCCCCAGGCAGCTCGGGCGTCTGGGGCTCAGTGTCCTCATTTGTAAAGTAGAGAACATGTCACCTGCTCTCTGGAGCTGCTGTGATCATCACAGGGGTGACGTTTTGTGTCTACAATAAAGTACTAGGACCCTCTATTTCTGATCTCAGTGTCATAAATTTCCATTGTAATTATTCAGATTAGAACCAACAGAATGGTAAAAAATGAATAGAACAGAAAACTTGAAGCGTTTCTATGAAGTAATTTAGATATTTTTTTACTCTACAACTTGAGCTTTGATGATCAAAGGAAACAACTGAAGCATTTAAGAAAGAAAAGCTTAGTATACTCTAAGCACAGCAGATAAATTTGGTTTAGCTCCACTTTGCTTCTGAGATACGGGGGTTTACATTTGATGCACTAAGCAGACTTTTCTGGAAAAGAACAAAACAGAGCATAATGTACTAAAACTTCCTCTTTTTTCCAGTCAGAAATAATCCATTTCCCCTTTTTAAAAAAAACTGTGGTAAAATATTTATACCATCAAATCGACTGTTTTAACCATGTGCAAGTCTACAGTTCCGTGGCATCGAGTACATTTACATAGTGGGGCAGCCATCACCACCACCCACTGTCACCACCGTCTCCGGCTTTAGGGTCATTTCAACCTGAAGAGCCACACCCGGTAAACACGAACTCCGCACTGCCCTTCCCCAGCCCGACACACCCTTCCACTCTCCGTGTCTGCAAATATGACTACTCTGGGGACTCCAGTCCCTTCTCTCCTTTGACTGAGTATCTTTTTTTGTGGTTTTTATCACTTTTTCCTACTATCCTTTCACTTCTTACAGATGCTCAGTGCTCTTGCAGTCGAGGTAAGAATGACTGGTGCCCAGGAGGTGGGCATTCAGATAAAAGGTTACCTGGGTTTTGTGTAGGTGTGAAATCGTACTGCTGCTGGGTGGCCCGTATCTGCCTGGCCACAGCCCCTTGGACAGCAAGGGATCCCTCTTGGGACAAGGTCTGCAGAGCACTCTGGGAAGTCTGAGTCTCAATAAACATGGGAGTGAGAACCGTACTCCGAAAACGCCAGTCAGAATCAATAGTGTATTCCTGCATGTGAGAGAGTTTCAAATAAAATAATGGTCCTTTAACAACATGGAAATACTTTAATTTAAAATCCAATGGTACTATCAGCAAGTACGTAAGTCCTCATTGCTAAGAAAAAAAAAATTTGCATTGTGATGGATGCTAAATAGACTCAGAGCGATCGTTCTGCATTGTATACAAATATCTAATTGTCATGTTGTACACCTGAAACTAATATGTTACATGTCAATTATACCTCAATTAAAAAAAAGAAAGCCAGTTTAGCACGATCAGAAAATGTCTGTTGACTGACAGGCAGGGAAAGCTTGTGATCTTTGTTATCACTGAGAGGAGCGCTTCACCTGAAACTTGCATTCTGACAGCGGGTGCTCGAACAGAGGGCTGAGATAGTCCGGGCTCATGCTGGTCATTTCAAGGAGAAAATCTGTTGCTAAACTTAAGAAGTGTACTTCTATTTTTGGAGAATATAAGGAATTTAGTGCCAACAACCGGTCTAAGGTATTTGAAGGTAACCTGGTTTCATGGCTCCAGAAATTTCGAATAATTAATCTGAAAAGCAGAGAAGAAAAGCATCAGAATAGGAAATTAATTGACATACAGAATCATACAAAGGGTTTATGCCCTTTTCATATCGCTAGTACTTGATAAAACACTCTTATAACTTACTCAGGTAGGCTTTTTAGAGGATGATCGTCATTCATGTTTCCACGTATAATTAACATATAGTTTCCTCTTATTTCTAAGGTTTCAAACATTCTGTTTAATATTAATGTGCACTGTGTGAACTCAACTATTTGAGTTAAATGAAAAACACAGTGACTGTCATTCGATTTTCTTTCATTCTGAAATGCTTTCAGTCACTGCTCTCGCAGGGGCAGCTTTCTCCACACTTTTTCAAGAGTTTTGTATTCAAGTAACCTGTCAGGATTTTTAAGTCTAATGTGACTTAAAATACATTTTTATTTAACATTATGAATGCAAGAGGCAGAGAAAATGCTAATACTGCAAATAAAACTGCGCTACGCTAGTCTAGGAAAAAGAGCCCTGAATGCACTTGTCCTGGGCCCGTTATTGCAGGAGGGGCACCCACTGAAGTCCAGGGTTCTCGTCCGTCAGTCCCTGAATCAGCACATCTTTTGCCAACTTAAATATTTCCCGGGAGTCATCATCTGCTTGACTTTCTGGATCCCTGAGAAAAATAACAGAATGACAAAACATTAAAAAGCTCTTGTATCGCTTTTGTTCAAACCCAGTAACACTGTCCAAAGTTAAAGTAAAAAAATACATATAGATCTGGCGTTTTCCATGGAACTTAAATCCCAAAATAACAGCGGAACCTATCTGCACACCTGTGCACCCCAACTTCCTCCCTTGCTGCCTCTGAGAGCCCACTGCAGTGACACCCCTCTCTCAGGTGCAGGAGGGGAGGGGCTGGTGGAAGAGGCAGGGCTTTGGGGGGCTCCCTGGGAACGCCGAGAGGTGGCCCAGGTCCCACGGGAAGGGTGTGAGGTCCTGCATGATGAAGACATCCCCGCGCCGTTCCTTCCTGTAATCTTGTCAGATCTTAGAGGGATAACTATGGAAACAAATTACACTTTTACCCCCTCCCCCCAAAAGAGAAAGAACTCACGCACAGGACAACAGTGCGGTGACCGCGGGGCTTAGGGGGTGGGGTTGGAGGGGAAGAGGGTATATGGATAATAAATAGTGATGGGAAAAATAATAATAAAAAATGAAAACAATGTACACTTTTAACTCAACCAACAATTTCATGCTCCAAATATTTCCCACAGATATGTAATATGAGTTAAAATAAGGATACATTTCAATTTACAAAAATAAACTTGTTTTCATTATTAACTGTATGTTTAAAATGTTCGTATTACTTATTGTGATCTGTTCCAGGTTGCTGAAGGCACCCAAATTCCCCCTAAGGAGTGCGATACAAACATGAAGGTACAGCTTACCGGTAGTTGTCATGGACCCACATGAGGACACTGTACATCTGTTCCCTGCACACTGGAGAGGGGTGAGTGGTGAATTCCACAACAGGACTCAGGAGCTCTCGGAGTTCCGCTGGTTTCAGTTTTGCCATCATCTTATAAATTATGTCCAAACACACTTTCTGTCTTTCATCATCTCTATAATAAGAGGGATTTTTAAAAACACATAAATTTAACAGTTTTTAATATTATACTTTCAGGTAGGATAGGTTAACTTTTGTGATGTTCTATATTTCAAAATTTGTAATAATAGATAATACTACACTTACATAGAAATTACATTCTTAAAAATAATTATCATGGGCCAAATTATTAAAAATAAACAAATTAATTCAATGTGGAATCCTGGACTAGATCCTGGAATAGAAAAATTAGTGGGAAAGCTGGTGAAATCCAAATAAAATCTAGTTTAGATCATAGGAATGTACTGATGTGAATTCCTTAGTTTTCACAAATGCAACACAATATAGGATGGAAAAGTTGAGTGAAGGGTACTATGTGGGCTATCTTTTCACTTTTCTGTAAATATAATTATTCCACGAAACCCACAAGCTCTGTGCGAGCGGAAGGAAACAGCGGAGGAGACTGACATTTCCCGGGCCGGCTGATCTGAGGCGGGGGCTGGTCCCCGCTCACCTGTGCCTCATCACCTGCACGAAGTCCTTGCCCTTCAGCTGTAAGTACAGGTCTGCAACGGTCTCTGCGCGACACAGCACCACCTCCAGACAGAGCGTCTTCATCACACCGTGGAACTTCGGCAGCAGGTAGAACACAGTGCTCATGAACCTGCCAGGGGATGGGCCGTGGGTGGGGGCCGTGGCCACCACCTCCCGCTGGGACGCACCGCGGTCAACACCTCACCTGTCGGCGAGGGGAGGGAAGTTTTTCACCACTTTGCTCAGGCACACGATGAACTTGTCCTCCCTCGCGCTCTGATGCTGCTTCAGCTGCTTCACGATCAGCTCACACACCGGCTCCTCCAGCCCCTGAAAGGTTAAGTTTCTTTCCAATACCCAAAGGGGGAAACATGTTCAGTTTCTGAAAAGAGATTTATCTTGAATAGTTAAGTGTTGGGTGCTGTCACCCCCAACTGTTCATGGGGCGAAGCTGCAGGAGCACTCGCGGGTTTGCAGGAACCACTGAGCACCCAGAGGCTCTGGGACGGTACATCTGGGTGAGCCAGGCCACGGCCACGCCTGTGCTGCGGGCACTGGTGGGGTCCAGCTCATGTAACATGTCGGATCAATAAAGATTAGTGCTTCTCTGACAATGAAATGAAACACTGCCAACAAGTCATTTAAGAAGCAGAACTCGCCCTGGGTGGCTCAGTGGTTGAGCGTCGCCCTATGAACCAGGAGGTCACATGGTTCGATTCCCAGTCAGGGCACAGGCCCGGGTTGTGGGCTCGATCCCCAGTAGGGGGCATGTGGGAGGCAGCCAATCAATTACTCATCATTGATGTTTCTCTCTCTCTCTCTCTCTCTCCCCCTTCTTCTCTCTGAAATCAATAAAAACGTATTTAAAAAAATAAAGGGAAATGCTAGTTTTTAAAAAATTGAGTAAGGTTTCCTTGCAATGCAGTGAAGTGGGCAGGGCGCCCAGGTAGGAAAGGCTCCCAGGAAGCGCCTTCTCCTGGGTAACAGCTGTGTTATGTCGAAATGGGAAGCGGAGGATTTTCACAGGCTAACGGCCTTTACAGCAGCAGGCGTCTACCTGGGTAATTTTCTCCAAAAGGATCCCCGAGACCAGGTTCAGAGGGCTGAGGGCTGGCAAAATACTCATATCCTGACTTTTATAATAGAGAGTAAATACTGATCTTTAAATATCTAACAAATTCCCCAGTGTTTCAAAAAAATCACATGTGCTCTTTAAAGATGTTGAGAATTGTACTCAGTAGGAAAGGGGGTAAACTATTAACAAATGCGGAGCGACCATTCGGTTTCCCACAGAAGGGGGATTTAGGTCCCGAGTGTCATGAGCCAGAATGGAAAGAGCATTGCTGAGAGCTGCGCACTCACGTGTCCCTTCTCGGTGACGTGACGGAGAACAAGCCCCAGCACCTCTGCTGCTGCTGCGTAAACCTCCTTGTATTTCACGAAGGACATGTTACTGACCAAAGCTTGAAAGTACCTGTAACAAACAGAGACGGTCGGCATGCACGAAAGCATCCGTTCTGCTGACGTAAAGTCAGAACATTTTACTCCTTGCTCCGTATCAGCAGCACAAACTGAGGGAACGTGAAACCTAAGGCACGGTCCGGATTATCTGGGTGAACACACACGAGGACGTATCTAAGGCGCTGTCCTCACATCGGGAAGGCGCACGGGAGTCGGTTCAGTTACACAGAACCTGCTGCAGTCACAGTGAAACGTATGCCCGAGGGCAGGCGGCTGCAGCTGAAGGGGACACGCAGAGCAAGGGCCCCCCCGTTTCCCAGCACGGAAGCCAGTGGCCGAGAAACAGACGCTCTTCCAGGCGGACAACGGCCTCCCGATGCTCTGGGAGGGGGACCGACCGCATCCCGCACTGACTGACATCGCACCATGTCTAGGGGCCCGTCTACAGCCTGTTCCGCCTTCGCTGGGCTTCCTCCCCCATGAGAAGTGGGACCAAGAGGCCTGCACGACCTAAGGGATTACTTTAACCTAAAAAAAAAAAAGAAAGTAAAACGATGACACTTACTTGTTACTCTCTATGCCGCACTTTGGGTCATAGGGAGGGAAGTTATTGGCCATTACAATGCCTAATAATTGAATTCCTACTGAATTGTCTTTAGAATTAGGATCTCTGCTGGAAAACTTTTCAAATATTAACCTGTAACAGGAGTATAAAAGTACAGATTATTATATAATAAAGAAGGAAGACAAATACAGGATTTTCTGCAGCGAGTGTTCAAGGTAAGACCCGCTTTTACTTTCCACACCTGCGCCCTTCTTGCTGACCTCTGTTCACATCCAGGTTACTCCAGCTTTGGAACACAGGCAGTTTCACATCTTCCTAGAATTATTTGCCCACATTCTCCAATGAAAACCTTTTGAAAGTCTGAGCTTACCTCAGGCGGTGCTAAAAGGAATCAAAGAAAAGTCCTACAGTCTGCGCCTGGGCTGTTACAGGGAAGAGCAAAGTGCGTCGGGTGCCAGACTCTGGAAGCTGGGATTTTACGAGTAGCAATATTATACCCCAATAAAAGGATTCTATTTCCAGTTACAGTGCTCCTGCATCGCTTCACGAGACTGAATTTCACTGTGATCACGTTTACAACATGCTACATCTTTCAAATTTCTAAACAACACTGCACAGTCCGGTACGCGTGTACCTGTAAGGGATGGATAAGCAATCCCTCCAGCATTCCACAAGGGTTTTTATGATTTCAAGGTTGTGACTGAACACGGCTCTTTTCTGGTGAAAGACGTGCTTCATCAGGAAGTGAAGCAATCGATTGGCTAAGACTTCATCTCTGGGAACCCCCTGAAATGGCATGAAAATTCTGTGTTTATATGTCGCATTCCATTCTGAAAAAGCATTTTTTAATCCAAAAGCCCATTTATAAAGGACACGTGGCATTCTACTGAGTCTGGCTCCTGGTTACGAACCAAAGTGGTTTCTCAGGCCCGACCACAGGCAGTTACAGAGGCTCCCCCTGGTCGCCTCGGGGAAGGCTGCCCACCCTGCACCAGGCCCGGAGCGTCGCCAGCACACTGCAGTCTCAGAGGGTCGTGGGTCAGGCCCGCAGGCCCTGTCTGGTGGCTCTTCCACACACGCGCACTCCTGGCCCAGGTGCCCTCACCCCTAGGTCTCTGTCTTCTTCAGGGGCCTTCACGGAAACCTCCTTATAGAGGGAGCACGGGAAAGCCTGGAGACGCCTGCCCCACCGACTCAGGACCTAGCGCTCTTCAACTACTAGCCCTTCTCCCACACCCTCCTCCCACCTCCGGGGCCTACAAAACTGCTGGGGTCAGTTAGTGGCACCCGCAACGAGGAGATGACCCCCAGATCTGTGCTGATCCACCCGGCCCTTGACCAGGATGTCTGTGCCAGGGAGGGAATGCAGCGAGAGCCAGGCTTCCTCTGGTCTGAGCCACTGCAGTGTTCTGAGTCAAGGCGTCCTGTGCCTTTCACTTCGGCTCGCTGTTGCTTTTACCAGCTACTCTGACCCCTAAGCAATTCAGCTCTTTCAAGAGCAGCTAAATCAATCTTTTCCAACAGTTTTTTAAATACTCTCTTAATTTTTTCATGTTAGTAAGCAGATTACATATTATTCCATCACATTAAAGCTAAGAAACCTAAAATTTAGCTTTCTTTGAAATGAGAGAGGCACATCCACACACAAGCACATATATAAGCTCCATGTACAACATTATATTGAGTAAGCGCTATTCCCAGGATAGCCTTACAGGGAAACTTACACATTAGGGCTAACGTTTCCAAACAAGCGGGCAGAGCTCCCCCCCCCACGAGCCTATAGTGGCGAGTGCCACAGGCTCCAGCACAAAACAGTGCCCCCGGCCCTGCAGTCACTGCCGAGCATCTCAGCCGTTACAGGCCGGTCAATGCTGCGGACGCAGACAGGCTGGCAGAACAAATGCTGAGAAATGCAGGGACTTTAGTCACCGAAGAAGTCTACCGACATTTATTTCACGTACTTTTTTTTTTTTTAACTGTGTCTTTTTTTTGGACAGTGTTTGTTTTTTTTTTTTAATATGTTTGTATTGATTTTTTTTTGAGAGAGAGAAAGGGAGAGGGTTAGAGAGAGAGAAACATCCATCGGCTGCCTCCTGCTCGCCCCCCGCTGGGGACGGAGCCACAACCCAGGCCTGCGCCCTGACCGGGAGTGCAACCGGCGACCTCTAGGTTCATGGGCCGCACTCCGCCGCTGAGCCACACTGGCTGGGCTATTTCTCATACTTTCAATAAACCGATTATCTCGTTTCCAAGCTCCTTGCAGGTAAAAGCAACAAATGAAACAAAACAAACGTCTGATAGCTTAAAAATAAAGGGTGAGAGGAGTCATCAAACACACAGAAGAAAAGAGAGCCAAAGCAGTGAGGCCGTCAGGTGCGGCTGTGCCTCAGCCGCGTAACATCGACGCCAACGACGGCTCAGTCACTCAGAGGAGCCCGATTTATCTGTCATGTGCTCCAGTCAAAACATCAGCAAAGAATGGACGGACGACCGCACAAAAGATGCATCCCTTCTTACCGCAGGAGCCGCTAATCCTGTCCAGGAAAGAACAGTCACCACGACCTCGACCACCATGTAGTGGATCCCTTCCCCTCCGTCGCTTTCCGAAACCACCAGCTGCAGCAAGGGGCTGAGCCAGTGCTTCGCATACGGGCGGAAGGCCTGGAAGAGGAGTTTCAAGGCAAGAGTCACCTTCTCTCCCCGCGACGAACGCCCTTCGTGCCAATACCCTCTTTGTCACATCCGTTATCCTAGCTTTGGAACAGAAGCTTTTTTAAAATGTTTATTTTTTAAAATACTTCTTACTGACTTTTAGAGAGAGAGGAAGGGACAGGGAAAGAGAGAAACACCGATGAGAGAGAAACACCCACGGGCTGCCTCCTGCACAGCCCCTCCTGGGACCCAGCCCACAACCAGGGCCTGTGCCCGGACCGGGGATTGAACCGGGACCTCTTGGTTCACGGGTCACGGCTCAACCACTGAGCCACACCGGCCAGGCTGTTGTAGGCTTTTTAACGGAGATGCATATAACTGCCAAAAATATTTAAAGGAGTGATAAATTACTCACTTCTTCTGTATTAACAATAAGCTTGGCTAAGAAGAGACGAACGTTTAATGGTGTCAACGGGTTTCCTAGTTTGTCATGAAGAAACTTCATCCAAGGAGGGAGACTTGTTGGCGCTGGACCCTGGAATGACACATTCAAAACCACCTTGAAAAGGAGAGTAAAATAACCAAACTAACTTTGTATTTTGATTTCACTACACAAAAATGACAAAGTAAAAGGTGAACAGCAAACATCATGCTTGTTTGGTATGGGACGTGGTTTTAGTCTTTGATATTAAATGTTCATTCTTTACTTTTTAAGTCTTCACCCGAGGACATGCTTCTACTGATTTTAGAGAGAGAGAGAGGAAGGGAGGAGAAAGAGGGGGCGGGGGGAGAGAGAGAGAGAAATCGATGTGAGAGAGAACCATCAATTGGCTGCCTCCCATACATGCCCCAACCGGGGATCGAACCCGCAGCCTGGCTGTGTGCCCTGACTGGGAATCAATCCAGTGACTTTTCAGTGCACAGGATGACACTCAACCAATGGGGCCACCGGGCCAGGGCGAAACGTCCATTCCTATACGGTGTCAGTGAAGAGCGAGTGAGACAAGGTAAGAGCGGGAGAAGGACCTCTTCTCTAGGCAGGATCTGGTTCCTCTGCATGTGCCGAATCAGGGCCGTCATGGTTGCCATGCATTCGTGCTGATTGAGTTCATCCATCTCCAACTCCAGGACGTCATCCTGGCTAACGGGGTCTTTATGCTCCTACCGAAAGGCATGAATCTGGTTATGCAGAGCACATTTAAAATTTCAGCATGCACAGCATTCTGATTTTGGGGGCAATATCAAGAAATACACATTTAGGTAACAACGGTAATTTGGTAATAATATCAAATACACTTGGTACACTTTCTTATTAAACAACTAAAATTAAATAGGGCCTCACGTCTTCCTTACATTCTGTCCGCCCTGTCCCATGTCCATGTGGTCACTCCCCGGGGGTCACACGCAGGGCACAGCTCACACACAGACATGCCGCTGGGCAGGAACACCAAGCCTTCTACAAACGTGAGAGCACCGGGGGCCCCAGGACCCTCAGCACCTGGAGAGCAACTGTCTAACGACTCCTAGGTGCCACTCTACCGAGAAAGTGAAGCTGTTAATTATTAAAGTATCATATGATAGGATAAATGTTTATGTTTCTTTCCTCAATAAACTGAAAAAAAGTTTTTCTCAGAAAATCTTTGTAAAGTCCTTAATTTGCCTTGAAATTTTAGTCAACAGAATAAAACTTTTAAACCATCTTTTTTTTTTTAAATCCTCAGCCAGGGGTATATTTTTTTACTNAATTTGCCTTGAAATTTTAGTCAACAGAATAAAACTTTTAAACCATCTTTTTTTTTTTAAATCCTCAGCCAAGGGTATATTTTTTTACTGACTTTAGAGAGAGGAAGGGAGAGAGAGAAACATTGACGTGAGAGAGAAGCCTCAAGCGCTGCCTCCCGTATGCTCGCCGGCCAGGGCACGGAACCTGCAACCTGGGATGTGCCCCGACCGGGAACAGAACCCGCAACCCCTGGTGTACGGATGTCGCTGCAACGGACCAGGCCACCCAGCCGGGGCTTAACCATTCCTGACGCTAAAATCTGCTCAGAAAGCACAGCAGTGATAGTCATTCTGTAAGTGTAATGATGAACCGAGGTTTCCACACACATTCAGAAAGTTTCACTCACACACACTCACTCTCACACACATTCACACTCACACCCCCTCACTTACACACACACACTCACACGCACTCGTGCACACACGCGCGTGCACACCCCCCACACACACTCACACACACCCTCACACACACATTCACACTCACACCCCCCCACTCACACACACACACACACCCTCACACTCACACACACAGAGTCTCAACAATGTGCTGGACGTCTTCCAGCACAGATCACTTCCAGGAAAACCAGACTTGAGAAATCCCGAGAGGAAATCTCTGGACAGCTGGAGGTCAGCTGGGGCTACTAAGTGCTGGCAGAGCCCGAACAGAAAGAGGAATACAAATGGTCCTTGATAAGCCCTGTCGTTCTGTCCGCCTGGTGGCAGGAACGACTCCAGAATGGCACTTTCCAAGAGAGGCGGTATTTGGAAATGTCCCCCCTTACAGACACTGTGCCCACCGTCTACTTCCCGAAGATAATGGATGATTTCTACAAACGGGGGGTCTGAGACACGACAGAAAGTCTATATTTTAGTAACAGGACTAAATGACACTGGGACAGAAAGCTTCATACACAATCGGGGTCACAAGACACAGGGAAGAAGCATATTCAGCGAGTCACAAGATTGGTCTCAGAAATCTGGGTGTCCGTTTCCACCTACCTGGAGAGTGTCAGAGGAGTTCACTGTGGCATCTGACTGACTCAGATCTAATCAACTATGTTTTTACTCAGAATCACTGTGTCTCGACACACTGCTCACAAGGCCTGGGTGGCTCTAAAACTAGAGACTCGGGCCATGCGGTCAGAGGGCAGGAGGAGTGAGCCCAGGTGCCTCGAGGGAAATGACAACGCACCCGGAATAGAACTTTTTTTTTGAGACAGAGGAAGGGAGGGTCTTCTCTTTGAATGGATGGAAAGAGTGAGATTAATCAAAGCTTAAAACAACAAAACCCTCCTCCCAACCGGACATGAGGTGCAGGTAACTTAGTAAGAATGGGAATGTTGTAAGTTGCTAGGACCAAAAAAGAAAAAACACTGAATTCTGCTTCAAAAAACACTGATCAAAATCATCCCTTACTCTACGCCCTTGTCACGAAGAGTTCACTCTAAGAGTTAAGCTGTCCCCCGCCAACACTGATGCGTCCGGCGGTCTTTGCTCGGTAACAGTAAACAACAGAAGAGCTTCTGCAGTCGCTCCAGAGACGGAGAGTCACACCGGCACCAACACCCGAGTCCCCAGGGCAGCTTTCGTTCTCACTGAAGATCCTAAAGTGTGGCTCTGATTTAAAACACTAACCTCAGGGCGACTGGCTAACGTGGGTCAGCCTTGGAGAGAGCCCTCCTCACCCTGCTGATGGGATCCGACTGCTGAGTCTGCAGGAAGATGGGCTGGGACTCAGATCCCAGGAAATTCTCCAAACGACTACTACTCTCGGAGGCCTACTGATGGGCAGCTGGCTTCCCATGTTAACAGCAAAGCCCCCCGTCCTTCACAGATTCTAACAATGTTGTTTAGATATGTAAGATGTGATCACCTGTCTTCGAAAATGACCAAGGGTAGATTTAGAGTCCTGGGAGCTGTATGAATAGCTCTGAACTCCAGTGGAGAAGTCAAACTGACTCATTTCCTCAGTCAGGCTGCTGTCTGCCAAGTACGACAAGGACGATATATAATGAGGACCACCTGGAACGTAAACAAAAAGAAATGCATTTATTCAAATGTAGTAGGAAATGAACTTCTCTAAGCTTAGTTGATATTCAAGGATGTTGCCACCCAAGGCTCCCATCAGTCCTGACTCTCACTCATTACCCAGATCAGCACAGCAAAAAGGAAATGGGCAAAGGACTCCTTTTACTCTTCTCGTTACTGACCGGTTATGCTCTACTGTCATGGACAAAGAAATTAGGTTAGAATGCATCCATTTTTAGATATGATATTAAGAGAATTTCTTCACCTTTAAAATTTAAACTATGTATATTTTGCCCATGAAGTGTAGCATAAATGTGGGGAAAGAAGCTACTGAAAAATAACTAATCCTGAATATGTAAGGGACTTGGAAAACTGGTCCAAATTTTACCCTCAAGTCAAGAAAACAAAGCTATGCAGAAAAAATTAAGCAGAAAAACTGAAAGTGTATGTGGAGGGAGAGAGGGTTACTTTTAAATCGGGAGGCCAGGGAGAACCTCCTCCAGGGACTGGCATCAAACAGGATGTCCGAATCCATGCTGATGCCTGGAGCCAAGGTCATTCTACCCCCTGCATGCAAATCCCGAGGCACGTGAGCCCCGTGCCCACAGCACGGGGGCCAGGCCGCTAGAAATGAATGAGCAGAAAGTACATCGGCGGGAGGTAGGTCAGGGGCTGGGGCGGCTCTGTCCTGAGGGAGGCAGAGCTCATGTGAGGTGCCGCAGGACGGAACTGGTATTTTACAGAGATTCTAAATGTATCTAAGTAATATAACCCACACTCAAAGAAATAAATACCAAGCCCATCCTGCACTGAAGTGTACCTGCGTCTGAGCCTCCCGAGGCCACTGGGAGATCTTTCCATGCAGTGCAAGTTTACCTAATTGCATTTATTTCCAGATAGAATTTCGTTCACCACTTAAAAACTTTTCCAACTGAATGCCCATGTTTTGGGGTATTTAAGGTGTTTTTCTATTAGACAACACATACCAACCAGGGGCCCTTCCTCCTCGGGGAAGGCACCCTACCTGCGTCCCCCTGCGCGGCTCCCCTGGCGTCCTCTCTAATTTCAATGTACTTTTTTCTTCTTTCCATAGGAACCTATTAGCAGAATCAAACACACAACTTAAGACTTTTTAGAACTGTGGGCTACCTGTTTTCTATTTTAGTAGCAATCTAGCAAAATAACATAAATTTTAAACAACACTTTTATCAAATTTAAAAGTATTCAAAAATATCCACAAAGAAAGGCAGGTGAGTGTCCCTTAGGGAAAGCTTTTTCTACAGATTCCCATGGAGCCCCAGGGAAGCACGTGCCTTCTGGGCTCTGGGACAGTGTCTGCCAAGCCCTTAGAGCCACATGCCTGGGTCGCCAACAGTCCGTACATGGCTCGTGAGCCTCAGTTTCCTCAGCTGTGCGGTTATGACACATCAGAGCACCTTACACGCAGTTAAGTTCATGAGTGATATACAGCAAGTGTCTGCTTAGTAAACCAGGGCGATTATTTTTTGTTTAGCTCTTGGGACATATGTCTAGAAAAAAGTTCCCAGTCTTGTTCCGAAAGGGCACGAGGCAGGAAGTAACCATTGGCGTGGACCCGTGGACCCGAGACGTGGCAGTGGCCAGCAGCCGTGCGGAGGTGGGAGCGACGGCTCCCGGCCCGGCTCTGCTCTCCAGCACACGGTGCCTGAGCTCTGTCCTCGGCCCAGCTTCACACTTGCAAAGGGCCGTGAACGACGGCAGCCACCAAGTGCTCCAGGTGGCACAGCAAGCTCAGCACGGCTAAAGTCTCGCCCTGCACATTTGCCAGAGTGAGTTCTGTAATCACCCCCATGACTTCCCGTGGCCCCTCATCCTGCCAAATAACCCAGCAGGGCCAACGCGTCCTAATTCTGCATCCGGGTGGATCTCAATCTCATCGACCAGAGGGATTTACTCAGAAAACGACTTCTGGGATATGTCCCAACAGCTGCTTTTAGTGGCACTGTCCTTCCTCTACAGGTCACTAAAGGGAAAGTCTCACTCTGCACATTTTCCAGGGCTCCTCAGAAGGGCGCCAGGCGGGGCACCGGGAGGGACACCCCTGATGAGCCTGCTTGTCGCCGCCTGGGACTGCGCCTCAGCTGAACTACCCGAAGGGCCAGCCCGTGGTCCCGGCAGGTCTGAACGCTGGCAGCGTTTCCTGCCTGGGCATGCTCTCCTGTAAAGCACTCAGGAAGTCTTTTTAGCTTGGAAGCACCGCTGAAGGGTTTCGCTCACCTCGACTTCCACGGGAAACGCGTAGCAGCGCTTCAGGTCTATCAGGTTCTCGAAGATCAGCAAGTTCTGCGAAGAGAAGGATCATAGGAAAACACCTGGGTGGCGGCGATGCTGCTGCTGCTGTTACTACAAAGTTCCCGGGGAAGCGCTCAGCTTTACGCGTGTGATGAAAGAGCTACACGCATGACATCAGGCTCGCGTGGTGGCAGAGCTCTAACTGACGGGCCGGCCCCTGAAACCCTGCGGTGCCGGCGGCGCCCAGCGCGCCGAAGGGCCTACCTTCTCCGGCTTCTCGCTGAACAGGAAGCCGTGGTAGAACTTCAGCTCGCTGAAGACTCGGCAGACGAGGGAGGCGGCGCAGTTGTACGCGGCGCAGTGGTAGAGCCGCCGCCTCTCCAGCAGCTGGGCCTCCCCCGCCATGTTCTCCGTAAACGCGTCGTAGCACAGCCTGCGGAGAC